GTGTGGGTGGTGTGGGTGTGGGTTGGTGTGGGTGGTGTGGGTGTGGGATATGGGTGTGGTTGGTGGGTGTGGCGTGGGTGTGGCGTGGGTGTGGGTGGTATGGGTGGTGTGGGTGTGGGTGTGGGTTGGGTGTTGGTTGGGTGTGGGTGGGTGTGGGTGTGGATGGATGTGGGCGTCGGTGATGTAAGAGACTGGAGTGTCACAGGCACACTTCACAACCACATCCAAACAAATACACCCACACCCCATCCACACCCACACCCACACTCACACCCACGCCCACACCCACACCCACACCTACACCTACACCCACACGTACACCCACACACCCACACCCACACCTACACCCATACCTACACCCATACCCACGCCCACACACCCACACGAACACCCACACCCTTGTCGAACAGTGAAAATAAAAAGAATTCGGTTCACAACAATAATTAGCGTTGATATTGAAGAAAAAATATAACAACCGTATGAAAACATACATGGTACTTCTTTATCGAGAAGATTATTGAATCACAAAGTACACAGAGAATGTTATGGAAAATATCACCGTCGTTATACATATGTATTAAAAAACAAAAAACCATCAACTCAAGTATCAAATTATTCATCAAATCATCGTTTACTGCTTGTTGATCGCACAAATTATCAATTACCATCATCATTAGCATTAGCAACATGAAACAATCAATATCCTGGAAAAAATTTGGTAAATGAAACATGTGTTTTCGTTGATTCAAGTGATGCTTCATGTTCAACGTCATCATTTACAACACACATAAATCGAAAGGTAGTTTGCTTCACAATAAGTTTCATGAAAAGAATATTATCAAGTGCTCTTGTAATTTACTCCCATGTCATTAAAATCGCACAAAAATCGCCGATTAAATCGCGATTTATTAGTTCGATAATCGTGAGATTATATCGCGATTAATCGTCTAAAATGGCGATTTTTGCCGATTTTCTCCCCGATTTTCATATAAAATCGCAATTAATCAGCGATATTTTTTTAATACTAATTGGTGAACGATTGGAATGCTGCATAACCTTTCTTTTCATATTGTGGATGAATCTTTATGGAGAAATTATTGTTTACTTTATCATGATGTTGGTTTATTCAAAAAAGTATGAATAGCAAGTGAGATACACAGATAATATCAGTAATATAGTAACACAACAATATACATAAAAAATGGCTTTGTGTTTATACAAAAAAATGAACTTGAGTAGAACAAAAAAATGTTTAAATGTGTATGAATAGTCTTTTGTCACTATCATCAAATAAGATCCTGTAATTTACATATTGCGTTTGTACTAATTTTGCAACAATTATATTGTTTCCGATTGTGTGTGAAGCAATGAAGGTGGTCGATTTGGTGTATCTATAAAGCAAATAGAAAAAAAGGTATCGATGAACCAATGAAAAAAATTAATTATATTTTACCTGTGCTTTTTTTGCATATACATACGCAAGATCAGAAAGGTTTACTTTATATTACTGGAAAATGAAAAAATTTAAAAAAAATTAATTTACATTACCGAAATTGGAATCGACACTCTTAATAGAAAAAAGAACACTAAATACAAATAAAAATGGTATTACCTTCAGTGGTACAATTGGTGCAAACATAATATCCATTAAAGTTTATTGTTTTTGTAAATAATGACTTCGCTGGCAAATCTGATATGAAGAATTGAGTTTTAACAAATACTTTAAATTCATTTTCATTGACAAATATCGAGGTACCATTTTGATTTAAATCAATTAATTGTTCAATTATATCTTGCAAAAATACATTTACATCTGGTTTAATACAAGATATCCAAAAACCTAAAGTAAGAATGTTGGTCTGAAATTCTCTAACTGGAGATGGTAACTCTACTATTGAGCTAAAACATGGCCATAACGATGATTTTGTGGAACGCACCAATGGCGCTCCATCAACATGAATGTTGAAGGTGATTGGATGAACAACTTTTTCAGTGATAACTTGATAACGATTACCACTCGATATATCAAATGCAGGAAATAATTCTTGACATTCAGTAAAAAAAGAAATATTTCGGCGGATAATACATTGTAGTTTTTCTCTAATGTTTACTGTAACGACTTCTGTTAATTGTCGTTTCGATAATTTTTGACTTGCTAATGAACAATAGGAATTAGTACAGAATTGTTGCCCACCTTTTAATGTTGTTAAGGTCAAACATTTGTTACAATAAAGTTTAGTTGTAGATGATGGCTTTTTACCTTGTGTTTTTAGTATTTGATGAAATGTTGTTGGAAGATGATTCGGTACCGGCAATAAGGATTTAATTAAATGCATTAAAGAGATCAATTTAAGTTTGTCAAGATTTGAATCAACGAAAAATTCAGTATGCTTTTAACAGCTTTATTAATAGTAATAGATGTTCGTTCATATAATGGTAATGAACCATCAGACGAAAATGAATCATATTCATATATATGAAGATTATCATCTTCATCAGGAGAATAAAGATTTTTGGAATCATCTTCATCAGAAAAATAACGATCATCAATTTTGAAATCAGGTCCTTGATTGACTGCTGCTGTTGTTGTTGTATCTACTAATACCTTTGAACCAATCACATCACTTGAATCACTAATTGAATCAGTATCAACATCTGATCCATTATCAACAACTTCTATAAATTGTAATTTTCTTTTCTTTCTATGCACTTGTTGTTGTAAAACTCTTTCAGTGCAAAATTCATAAGCTTGTGTCATTTAAAAATAATGATTAAATAAGTACTGTCTATCTGAAAAAACAACTAATTATAAATGTTAAGAAAGCAAACCTGTTGTTTTAAATAAAAGCCCGTACCGTTACATTGACTTTATTAAATAGGGTAAGATAAGGTATATTGTATAAGAGAAGAGAAGAAGAGCAACAATGATTTATTGGTTTTCTCATTGGTTGAGATTAATCAACCAGTAAATATTCAGTCCAATGGTTAACTCAAGTACTTTGCTATGAAAATTCTATAAATACTTCACACTAATAATCAAAAAAAAATTTTCTTTTCGAAAAAACTCATACACTATATTTTGAATGTGGAGGACTATTAAATTACTTTTTGGGAAAAATCGCGATTAATCGTCAATATTCCAAAAGCTGCTGATTTATCGCGATTAATCGTCGATTATTTTTTTTTGTATGAAAATCGTCGATTAATCGCGATTCATAGACGATTATTCTTCTCTATATAAAAATCGGCAATTAATCGCGATTAATTGCCGATTTTCTTTCTGAAATCGCGATTAATCGCCGATTTTTGTCGATATCGCGATTAATCACCAAAAGTAAGGCGATTTTGACGACATGGGCTGAGACTTAAATATCCACATTTAAAATTTTTTTAATTGCCCTTATCGTCGTCATTATTATCACACGGAACTGAAGAAAATATTAATTTATCATCATACCATAACAAAATATGTTTGAAATTTTCATAAGTGAAATATTCGATTTCAAAATAAATATCTGATGAGTTTTTCAAAGATTGGTGTGCAATAATCATATAATTCATTTTTATAGAGTAAGACATCGTATACTGGTGGTGATGATACTGATTGACAAAAAGATGTCCTCAATTCATCTGATTTTATTAATCTTGAATTTTTATCAACAATTTATTTCATCATCAGTTGAACAAAGTCATCAAAAAGAGTCTGTTCAAATCAATATATCTATATTCTTCTTTTAAAGAAGCTCATGAACATTCTTATTCTTTTACTTCTATGTTTTCTTAGATTCAGTCATCAATACCAAGGAAAAAGATTGATCTTGATGACTTGATCGAGATTACTGATATAAGTGAATCATTACCAACATCTTTTAAAACCCATCATCCAACACCACATAACGACAATATGTATACGATAATTTCTTGTGTACGTGAAACATTTGATTTAAAAAAAGAGACTCAACATTTAATTCATTCTTTTAGAATGAAAAATTATCCAATGCTGATGATGTGATTGATTCACAACAAAATTTTCTTAACTCATCTGGTTTTAGTGTTTCAAATTTTTCATTTCCATCTGAGTTATCATATGTTCGACCATATCTCTTCACAAAGTACACCAAGTCAGGTTAGATTGATTCTAAGATTGAATTGCATTACTTTTTTCATTTAAATTATTCTACATAAAAAAAAATCATGATATGCCAGTATTTTGTCCTATTTCTATAAAATCAAAAATTTCTTTTATTTTTTTATGCCATTTATAATTTTATATTTTACATCGTTTTTTTCGTACAAAAATAAAATATATGTTTACTTAATGAACGTTTAAAGGCACATAATAGTCTTAATTTTTACCTGCAGAAATCTATTATCTTTCCAGTCATAATACTTCTTCATATTGAATTTAGTCAAAAGTTTTCGGAGATTTGTTTCTGAGAGATCAATATTTTATGAATACTATTAGATACAAGGTTGTAGAGAGAATGTAGCCAGTTTGAACAATCATACATCATCATGTTGGTCTCTCTGAAAACAGGTCTCCTTCAAGATGCATTATTAATAAAATGAGAACTGCTGGTAATGGGCGAGTTATAATAATGCTACTTTGTCTGTTGTCGATTACATTATATAAAAATCTTTTGAAAATATTCATAGAGAAAAAATAAAAAAAGATGTCACCGGTGAGAAGAGCATCTGCTATTAATTGGTAGAAAGAAATGTCCTTTAACCCTTCTAATAATATACCATAAATTAATAAAAGCAACTAATGATCGTCTGTACAAAACAGGACAGTTGTCGTTAAATACTATACATCAATGTTTCACTGATTCTATCAGAGTTATTTCTTATCCAACAGGAAATTCATTTAAAAAATATTTCATATTTCTATTTTACTGTACTCAAGAAAAATTATGAGTGAAAATCGAAAAGATCGTATATTTCGTGATCGAATTGATGCTGGTTGTCAATTAGCTGCTCATCCAGATTTACAAAAAATTAAATTTTTACCATTAAATGAGAAAAATTCATATTTAATTATAAGTTTACCTCGTGGTGGTACAGTTGTTGGTGATGAATTAGCTAAACAATTACAAATAACACATGATGTAGTTTTTCCAAGAAAAATTCCATGTCCTGGACATCCAGAATTTGCTATTGGTGCTGTATCAGAATTAGGTGACGTCATTTGGAATGATTTTGCTAGATATACAAATTTAATTGATAAACCACATGTTCAACAAAGTAAAGATAAACAAATTCAAGAAGCACAACGACGAAAAACAATTTATCGTGGTCAACGTAAACCATTGGACAGTTTAAGTGGAAAAACTGTTATATTAGTTGATGATGGATTAGCAACAGGTATAAATATATAACTCATTAGATTTAATTATTAGTTTTTTTTTTTTTTGAGAAATTATATTTGTTTTCTTGAAAGAAAATATTCAGTTTGAATTTTCGTTGAGATTTTAACGGTTTTATTTTTCTAGTTCGAAATATCGGTCAAAGGTCAATGCGTACAAAATTAACTTCGTCATTTAAGTTGACAGAGGCGGTTTCTTAGCAATTGAGAAAGGTGTTCAGCAAAATTCAGGACACTTCTGTTGAAATTTTTCCAGATAATATAGATTTTAGTTTCATCCCAGCGAAATGATTTTTATGATAGATATTAACATTGATGGTGAGTGATATATAAATGTGTTATAGTTAGTATAGAAAGACATCTCGTCTGTGATCAGCTCAAAAAAACAATACAAGCTAATCGATTTAAAATTCGAGTCGAAAATCAATACGTGTGTTTCAAAGTTATTTAAGATGTATGATAGCGTATATTGAGATATATGTGAGCTTTACATATCGATTTTATCAGAGTTGTATTGCTAATTTTTTCTTAGGTGCAACCATGAAAGCCGCTATTAGTACTTGTAAACATTTAAATGTTAAATCAATAATTGTTGCTGTTCCATGTGGTCCAGCTGATGGTGTTAAGGATATTAGTAAATCAGTTGATAAAGTTATATGTTTAACAACACCTGATCATTATCATGCTGTTGGACAATGTTATAATTCATTTGATCAAACAACTGATGAAGAAGTTATTGAAATTCTGGCTAAATATCAAGATTTAAATATTGAAAATATTTCAAACAGTTATTAATTAAATATTCATTAACCATTTTTTGAATCGTTTTTACTATGCTTATCAATATTTGACATCGAAAAATTTTATTCTTAATATAACCTATGTTGCAAAAGTCTTGTTATAAGATAATCGCTCATTTTTCTGTCATTAAAAGACAACTGGTTAGAGTCAGAAGCAGTTAGTTACAAAGATGGAACCGATACCAATACATCGGTCATTACCGATGTGTCTTATTTATTATTCTGCTCTTATTATTTCATAGAGGATGTGTAATGAAACTTTATTGAAAGTTAACTATTATCCGTTTCAAAATATAGTGCCCTCTACTGTTTTTTGAATAACTCAAGAACACCATCAGCTAGAGACCTGCGATTTTCACCAGTCGAAAGAAAAGACAGGGGGACGTCTTTTTTCCCAATATTGTATCAGACGAAATCATTTTTGAATCAGTCATTTTTGCAAAACATTGCAAAAAATGCAAGAAAACGTTCTGTCATTCCAAAGAAATTTTCCTTTTGACATGTGATCTAGATAGAGGAACTTCGGGTCTATAGTTCAGGATATAATTCGAATGATTATCTTACCGCATCCTAATGTTGAGCAAATAAAATCGTCTATTTACTCGCACACAAACTATGGATTTCTTTTAATTTTTAAGCAAATTTTCTTACTTTTTGTCAAAATTTCATCTGAATGACAGACCCTTTTTTCGATGTTCTGCAGAAATGACTGGTTTTAAAACGATTTCGGCTGATACAATATTGGAGAAAAAAGATGTCCCCTATCTCTTCTTTCGGTTGGTGAAAACCGCAGGTCACTAGCTGATTGCGTTCTTGAGTTATTCGAAAAACAGTGGAGCGCACTATATTTTGAAACGGATATTACGTCAAATATCACTATCCACAGATGGAATAGTACGACAACTTGTCAGCCCAGTATCGGTATAGATTTCAGACCGGTTCCATCTCGGGTTAGTTAGAATCAGAATTGTTCGCTATTTCCGAATATATATTCAGATTTTCCTTCTGCAGTAGGATCGAACAACTATCAGTAACTTTTGTGAAAAAAGTCCAAGACTGTGTCTGTATAAAGCAAAATATCGGTTTTCTCGTAGTTCTTGGTTTGCGTCTTGGAACAGTATCAACTCAACATTATTTTAGAACACTAAATTCTGTACAAAATGAGATATTACAATAAGCAAAATCTCATTTATGCATTTTCACTATAGAGCTAGTTTCTATAGAAATCAGCGTTGGTAAAAAAAAAAAGTCACTATTTCAAATACTGCTTTTAAAAATACAAAAGGTTTTTACATCTGTCATGCAAAAGTAAATAGAACGCTGTATAGAATAAATTTTGCTCTACAAAGTTGAGTCATTAAAAACTGTTTCACATGTGGAATTTTGATAGGTTTCGAGCAAAATATCTAATGATAGTTGGTGAATCTTACCTGAGAAGGAAATTTTAAACACATATTCATATAGAGCGAAAAAGTTTGATTCTAACTGTCTGCGTCTGATTCTAACCAGCGGTCTTTATGAAACTGAAAAATAAGTGAATATTTTGTGCCAAGACTATCGCATCATAGGTTATATATGTATATTGGTATGATTCTTTGATTAGAATCAAAACGAACTCAAACTATCTGCTGATGATAACTTGGATAGTTGAGTGATGACATTTCTTCGCTTTTCATATCTATTGCCCTAAAGACTATGTAGTCCATTTTTGCACTATTCCTCTAGGGCTACAAATCCAGATAGAATGTTACTTTTGAGGTCTAATAAAGGTTGATTCTGTAACTAATTCTTTTCAGATTCAATAATTAGATTCTAAATAGATTTTATCGTTTAATATTGTCATTTCATTTTTCTGGAGCAAAAAAAAGCATCGAACTTCTTTGCTATCGACTATATCACTAATGAACAATTATATTTTACAATAATAATCATGTTTAGTGGTAAACAATCAATTAAAATTGAATTAGATTCTCAACATGTTTTATATGGTGATTTAACATTAGTACCGAATTCCATTGGCTTAGTTCTATTTGCTCATGGTAGTGGTAGTTCACGTTTATCACCTCGTAATCAATATGTAGCTGAACAATTAAATGAAGCACAAATATCGACATTTTTACTTGATTTATTAACTAAAAATGAAGAAATTGAAGATGATAAAACACGAAAATTAAGATTTAATATTTCATTTCTAGCCGATCGATTATCACAAGTCACTGATTGGTTATATCAAAATGATAAAAATATTCAAAACTTATCAATAGGATATTTTGGCGCAAGTACAGGTGGTGCAGCTGCTATTATAGCCGGTGGTATTAAACAACAAAAACGAACAAAAGCAATTGTATCAAGAGGTGGACGACCAGATTTAGTTCCTACGGAACAATTGAATCAATTAACTGTTCCAACATTAGTAAGAAAAAAAATATAAATAATAGTTTTTATAATGAATTAATGTTCTTTGGAAAGACGAAACCTCCCTTATAAAAAAAATTTCTAACAAGAAGTTTTCACTTTTTATAACAATATTTCTTGTTGACGCATCCGTAAGAAAATATGTAATGATCCAAAGCAATCTTTAATATTTTCACATAAAAACTTGTTGTAGTTTTCAAGGGAGGTTCTTAGGTATCACGTTTTTTTTTAATCGAATTTTATCAGTTTGTAGAGCTTGATAAATAAAAGATTTAATATATAGCATTTGTTTTCATACTAAATCGTCTAAGAGATTTTGAGAGAGCACTATAATTTAAGGCATATTATAATCAACAAATAGATTGTATAGTGGTTAACTATACTTGTTAATATGTTACAATCAAGTACCTAGTGAAACAACATTTTAGTTTTGAATATCACTGATCAATACTTTATATCATATGTTAGACTTATTCATCTCTGAACGCGAGTATATACTCGATTTAAATAAGAGGCTGACATAATTTGGTAGTTACGTTATTCGAAACGTATTCTTTAGGTAGTATGCACAAACCTCGATGGTAGCAAGTTATCTTAATAGTTATGTGTCTGGAATCATCCATCTGAAAATTTACTGTATACGGAGAACTCAAGAAATTGTGAAGAGGAACTCTGCATTCGTATGAACTTCTTATAGGAGCTTTAGATAGCTATTAATAAAAAAATGAATGGCCTCTTTAAGTTCGTCTTCTGTCCAGACAATGATCTATAATGATGTTGATGACATCAATTATGGCATTCCCTTCGATTCAATATAGAATATGATATTTCGTGATCTCTCTTGATCATTAAAAAAAGAGCTATTGTAGAGAATTGTTTGCTTCATTATAGAAAAGTTAGCACTTTCATATAGTCTCTGTCAGATATACATCGTCTTGTAGCTGACAGATTCTTATTGCGCTAGTTTTATAGAGCTTGTCGACTTGTGAAAAATCCATCGTTTTTTCTTGACTCAAAGTTTTCATTCGAAAACTTTTTGCTTTATTTTTACAAAACCATGCTATAAGAATGTTGAGACTATCGTTTGATAGAATACTCACAATAGTATATGCGTAGTCATTAACAAGGTTCTGTGATGACTCTTTACAGTTTGACATCTATTGAAAAAACAGAAAAACTCATTGATTACATAGGAAATTTCGTAATGCATCCATCTAGTCATATCTACGTTTTGAAAACTTTGAGAAGAATTATGACAAAAAATGGGAGCTTTGCTCTTTTTTTGTCTTTTGGCTTTGTAGAAAGAACTTTGTGAAGTTTGTTCGTTTCACGATTGTTACCGTCGACTATGATTATCAGTAGTGAAGACGAAGAATTATTCAGGAGATGAATCATATTAGATCCGTATTGATCTTGAAACATTCATTTTTCTATTGTCCCTGCTATTGAATGCAGGTTTTCTTAGTGGATATCTCTTTAGAGAAGTGCATCCCCTTTGCTTTTTGAGTTCACATGTTTTATGTGTCACTTTGCATATTGACTGGCGTGTTAGTTCTCAGTTGAAAGTATATTTGGAAATTTTATACAGCAACCGTCTTTTAGATTTGTAACTCATAAGCTAAATCTTGAATACTAATCATAAAAGTTAATATTCACCTAAAGTATATCCAAATATGTGTAATTGATATTCACGACTGTTATTTTGAAAATCTGAAAATGAAATTGTACCTTCATATTCGAACTTCACATATAAATTACTCTAAGTCTTCATCTTGCAGTATTTAAAAAAAACTCAAAATTCCCTTCAAAAATTGACATTCTGTGCCTCATGTATATCGTAACTTCTCGTTATTAGCTCTTAATTTATATTGAAATGAGAACTTTGATGTTTTGGTTATAGAGTCCTCGTAGGGATGTTAAAAAAAAATAATCCGGACGAAATTCGATGTGTAGTTTATGAGAAAATTCAAATTAAAACACTTACATGTGAGCAGCGGAGATATTACGAAACTTCCTATGTAATCCATGAGTTTTCCTGTTTTTTTTTCAATATATGTCTAATTGTGAATGTTCTATCGAATGGTAGTCTCAACATTCTTGTACCATATTTGGTAAAAAAAAGCAAAAAATTTTCGACAGAAATTTTTGCTGAAAATCAAGTTTTTCGGCCTGGCTTCTAGTCAAAACTTTGAATCAGAAAGAACAATAGACTCTTTCACAACTCGATAAAACTAGCGTAGTAAGAATCGGTCAGCGTAAAAGTCGATGGAAATCTGATAGAGACTGTATGAAAGTGCTCTGGTTCTACTGATTCGTCAGTTCGAAAAAGATTTTAGTTTATACTTTTGCATTTGTTTTAGTTAATTGTTGGTGGTGCCGATACGGATGTAATCAAAATGAACGAAGAAGCTAATTCACAAATGATACAATTGAAAGACAATAAAAAGCAAAAAGCTTTAAAGTTGGTCCCAAATGCAACACATCTATTTGAAGAAAAAGGAGCTCTAGAACAAGTATCACAATTAGCTATACAATGGTTCACAGATCATTTTCAAAAACATTAAAAATAAATCATTTTCT